ATTGGATATTTATTAAATGCCAGAAACCATTTTAAGTGTTTTAAATGTATATTCATTATTTAGCTCCCAATATTAATATTGACTCCTCAAAGAACATTATGATGGATGTATTATTATCCTAATTGTATTAATTTAGTATTAGGAGTAGTATTTTGAGACAGGATCTCATTCTGTCACCCAGGCTGAAGTGCAGTGCAGCTCATTGTAGGCTCAACCTCCCAGGCTCAAGTGATTCACAGCCCAGGTAGCATGACTACAGGTGCATGCCACTACACCTGGCTAATTTTTTGTATTTTTTGTAGAGGTGAGCTTTTGCCAGGTTACCCGGGCTGGTCTGGAACTCCTGGACCTCCCAAAATGCTGGGATTACAGGCATGAGCCACCACATCCGGCCCCCTCCTAATTTTATGTGTAAAGAAACAGGCTCAGATAGCTTCCTCTAGGACGAAAGTGGAAGAAGAAAAGATGGGACCCGCCGGGAGGATTGGCCAGGCTCAGTGGCTCACGCCCATAATCCCAGCACTTTCGGAGGCTGAGGCGGGCAGATCACCTGAGGGCAGGAGTTCGAGACCAGCCTGACCAACATGGAGAAACCCCATCTCTACTACAAATACAACATTAGCCAGGCGTGGTGGCGCATTCCTTCTCAGGAAGCTGGGGCAGGAGAATTGCTTGAACCCGGGAGGCGGAGGTTGCGGTGAGCCAAAATCATGCCATTGCACTTCAGTCTGGGCAACAAGAGCAAAACTCCATCTCCAAAAAAAAAAAAAAGAAAGAAAGAAAGAAAAGAGGTGACCATTTTTACATAGCAGGTTTGGTGGTGAGGATACATTTGAACCAAGTGTTCCATTGCTAATAAAAACATACTGTCTGAGAGGACAAGGAGACACTGATCGCCAGTTAATGGAAGCTGTAAGAACTAGAGGAAGCCCTGGCTTTCAATACTTTGTGTCTTTTCCTTATCCCATTGTTAGAAGGGATATAAAGAAGAAGGGAAAGGGGAGGAAATTATACAAGCAGGAGTTGACATTTCATCAGGCCCTTTCTGGAGTTCTTTTGCTGTTCCTCTACTCTGCTTCTCCTCCAACATGAGCTATTAGCAAACCTAGGGCAATTCTTCACAGGTGTTTTCTCATTTCATCTTCACAACAATATGATGCACAGCCTGCTCATCACTCCAATTCACAAATGAGGAAATTGATGCTTAGAGACAGTATGTGAATATATGATTCTTTCCTGTAATATTGACTGTAGCCTTCCCCTCCATCCAATCTCCATCTTTTTTGACCCTTTCTGCTCTCAGCCATCCTCAACTAGATAACAGTGCTGTGCCACAAACCTGCGGATTTTCTCCACAGAAATTATATAAGTACACTATATTTTACTTAGTCTGTATTGATATATATTGGTTGTACATATTTTGAGGGTACATGTGATATTATGATACCTCTATACAATGTATAATGATCAAATCGGGGTAATTAGAATATCACATCAAACATTTATTTTCTCTTTATGTTTGCAACATTATGAATCTTCTAGTTATTTTAAAATATATAATGAATTATTGTTAACTATAATTTCCCTACTATACTATCAAATATAGAACTTCTGTCTTGCTGTACCTTGTACCCCTTAACCAACTTCTATTCATCTCCTTCTCCCCATTACCTTTCCCAGCCTCTGGTAACCACCTTTATACTTTTAACCTCCATGAGATCCACTTTTTGTATTCTAGTTATTGATCTTATTTATTATCTCTCTCACCCCCTATAAAACTCCATGATATTTTGGGGGATGAGAGGTTTGGTTTTTTTTCTCATCTCCATCTCTATGTCTTGAAAATTCTTAGAAGACAGTAGATATTCAATAAGTAATTTCAGAATTAATAGGTGATAAATACTCATGAATGCTTTTCTCTATCTTTCCAAAATCTTAATGCCTGCCCTGTTTGTTTTAAATTCTATTGCTTCAATAAGATAGTTTGAGAACTATCCTTTCATAATTCTGATCTGAAGAACTTACAAGGTGCTAAATTAGAAGATGTATTGCAAAGCCTTTATTTCAAATTGGCCAATATGTTTAATAAAAGTTTGACTTGCTTAAAAGAAATATTTATCTGGGATTCAAGTTCACTCCTTAGAATAGGTCAACACTTTGAGGGGGGTTGTTTTTGCAAAATAAAAATTAAAGATTAAGTGTTTCTTGTGGCAAATTTTGAATTTTATTTCCATGCCCTGATTCCCAATGACGTGACACTATAGTTGAGATATTATACCGATTTTCTCAATAACTTCAGAATGAATTTATATGTGATCAAAAGACCTTTCTGATTTCAAGATACCTTTAATAACCTTTACTAATTATTAACCAAAACTAAAGGCAGATTTTGCAAATACAAACTTGTCATTTCCCCATGACTGTTATCTTTTTGATGGAAAAGATGAAGTTCAGCAAAGAACAAATCTACAACTTGGCCAGAAGACGGTAGACTTTGCCTTCAAAGAGCTGTAATACGTACATAAATAATCTCATCAGACCCCATCCTTGCTCTTGCAGGTTAATTAAGCACAGTGGGAGGGTTTGAGAGTATCCTCATGAAAAGATAATTTTAGTAACATTTGGGAAAAGAGCAAGGGTTAAATTTTATCTGAAAGACTAGTTTCCTTTGTAAGTCTTCAAAATGTTTTGCCTTTTGCAAAGTACAGACGCTGAAGCTGGCATATTAACTTACTAAGTTAGCAGATTCCCCCTAAAACACAATGCCCTAAAGCCAGGCAGAGGGTAGAACTGGCAAACAGAGAGCATTAACTGTATGCTTCTTGAAACAATCAGTGAATGCAAACTGAATTGCCCTGGGTCAGCAGCAAGCAAGAACAATCAGAAAGGTGAAGGCAAGAATGTCCACGTTTATATAAAGAGGATGACATTGTTCTGCCCTAAAAAGAGCTAACTCTGTATAATCTCATGTTTTCCTTTGATATTCTAAATTATACTGAAAATATACTTCCTTTTTTATTGAGACAGAGTCTCACTCTGTTGCCCAGGCTGCAGTGCAATGGCATGATCTCAGCTTACTGCAACCTTCACCTCCCAGGTTCAAGCAATTCTCATGCTTCAGCTTCCCAAGTACTTGGGATTACAGGCATGCACCACCACTCCTGGCTAATTTTTACATTTTTGATAGAGATGGGGTTTCACCATGTAGGCCAGGCTGATCTCAGACTCCTGACTTCAGGTGATCTACCTGCCTTGGCCTCCCAAAGTGCTGAGATTACAGGGATGAGCCACCGCGCCTGGCAAAAATATTACTTTCTAAATGATACTTATCTGTTAGCTTGGGGACATTTATTTAATTATACTACTTCAGTAGTAGAATACCTATTTCTATTACTAATAGTAGTACTATAGTAATACTAATCATAATGATAGTAGTAATAGTAATAACTAGTAATTATAATACTCTAATGATAGTAGCAATACTAATATTAATAGTATTAGTAATACTACTATTAGTATTGCTATTGCTACTAATATTGCTATCGCTACTACTATTACTATATTGGTATTATTACTACTATTAGTAATACTAGCACTGTCATTACTAATAGTGCTACAATTAGCAATACTAGTGCTACTAGTAATATTAGCACTAATATTAGTGTTATTAGTAATGGTTGTACTATTAATACTAATATTAGTAGGTAGTCCTAATAATATTGTTATTGTTACTAATAGTAATACTCTATTACTATTCTGTCATTCAAGTAATAGCAATTTTAGTAATAGAATACCTTAAAGCTGCATTTTTCAGAAATGATCACTTCAGCTTCACTTTTTTCTTTCACCCAATTTTTCACCCAGTTTCTTATATTATAAATGATGTCTTCATTCTGAGCCTTTAAAGGACAATGTGAAGCAGTACATGCATATGACAGAAAATTTTCAAAAGTACCTATATTCAAATACATTCAGGTTGCATTTGATTCAGATCATTGTAAAACATATTTCCTCTGTCCTGGTTGGCAGAGCACATTCAGCAGGGTGAAAACCCAGCATAGAACCTTCCCCGAGCCACTGATAACTGCAACCCAGTGTGGCAGCCTTCACCTCTGTGTATGTGGGAAACTCCAGGGCCTCACACTCCCACAGCTTAGAACCTTCAAAATGGACATTATCTTGTTCTGGGAACCTGTGGATATGAGCAACCATCACATTTGGAATGTGATTCAAATCTTGTTCCCAAAATAGAAAATATAGACAATGAAATGCTGAAATTATATATTTATATCTGTATACACAAACATGAACATATGTAAACTTTCAACACCTTTTAGAATTTACAGAAGTTTCATTGTACTCTACTGAACACGTCTGTGGTATGTGATCTGGATGTTAGCAAACCCTTCCACGTCAACTCAAAAGCATCCATTGTTCTTGCTTTGTTAAAATTAATGTCACATTTTTATTACATAGAGTACTTTGCATGATGACTTCTGTGTATATGATACTGGCACATTTTGTTCTAAACGTTTGTCTTTGGAGAATAAGTAGATAACTATATTAGTGGACATATAGACTAAAGATCAATCTCTGAGAATTCTGATGCCTTATCTTAGTCGTTAGAATTAGCGACAGTGCCCTCTTCCTGCATCTGTAAGGAACATCCTTCATATTATTTTAATAGATGTGAGTTGATCTGTTTTGGAGTATTTGGTGACATACTGAGATAAGTGGATTCAGAATTGCTAATCTGCATTATAATTGGAGAATGGGTATTGTTCATTTTTTTTTTGTTTCTAAATTTCAACTAATATTGTGCATTTTTAAAAGTTTTTTTTAGAGTACATTTACAGAGCCTTGTTTGTATGCTACTCTTAGTTGCTCTAACTTTAATGACTCATTTGCAGAGAATATTTCCTAAAGATGTCCTTCATAAAAAGGAGAAGTTTGGACTTGACAGCAGTAATTTACTTAATTTATCTTAAATTTGGTTTCAGTGAGCAACCCTAATTAACCTGATTTTTTGCTGATAATCACTCTCAATGGAATCAAATCACAAATCCGGGGATGGATTGAGCGGCACCCAGAAGGAAGCAGCCCTCCGCGCACTGGTCCAGCGCACAGGATATAGCTTGGTCCAGGTAGGAACTTCTTGTGAAATCTGCTGAGACTCACCACTGAATGTGCACAGTGGTGGGAATATTAGTGGTCCTAAGATGCAAAATGGGAATGGTCAGTTACATAGCTCTTTAAAGAAATGTCCCTTTCTAAAAGAGAAGGAAATTGCAACATTTCTGTTTTGTAGATGACCCTGAATTCATAGGATGTAACCTTCTGAATGTAACCTTCTTTCTACTCTAAGTTATCAGTTCAACCTTAACTTGTCGCAGAATCAGTGTCCACAGTTATAGAGACTATCACAAAAAGGCAGCTAGAATTTGCCACCCAACACTGTGAAGTAGCACCACATTGGTGTTTCAGGAATCAGCAGAAAATAAACTACAGCAGGAACCAGGCTTGGCTTCCAGAGAGATCACTGCACACATAAGACTTCTACATGTGGGATCCAAGGAATGAACGCTTTGTGTCTAGCTGCTGAAGTTTATTTTCTCAGAACACTTGCTCATCCAGTCTAGGATATGTAATACTAACTTCTCTCCACGTTCAGCATTTTGTAAAAGGAAAAAATAAAACACCACAATCTTAAAACTGTCTATTTGTAGACACTGTCTTTTAGAAATTATCTGTGTGTATATATATATATATATCTTTATGATATCTTCTTTTAGAGAACTAAAATGCATTAAAAAATGTAGTGTTAGATACATATATTATCTTATTTAAAGAGAAAAATGGTGCTTTTCTACAGTAGGACAAAATATTTTAATTTCTCAGCTATTTTCTTTCACTCACATATTTTCCCAACTTAACCAAATCTAGATACTACTATGAATTCAAATGTCATGTGTGATTAGCAATAAAATATACAATAGTGTCCTTTCATTAGATGCTCCTTTGTCAGTTGCAAATTTTACATTTATTTTATTTATTTACTTATTTATTTATTTATTTTTGAGATGGAGTCTCGCTCTGTCACCCAGGTTGGAGTGCAGTGGCACAATCTTGGCTCACTGCAAGCTCCGCCTCCCGGGTTCACACCATTCTCCTGCCTCAGCCTCTGGAGTAACTGGGACTACAGGCGCCCGCCACCACGTCTGACTAATTTTTGTGTGTGTGTGTATATGTGTATATATATATATATATATATATATATATATATATATATATATTTTTTTTTTTTTAGTAGAGACGGGGTTTCACTGTGTTAGCCAGGATAGTCTCGATCTCCTGACCTCGTGATCCATCCACCTTAGCTTCCCAAAGTGCTGGGATTATAGGCGTGAGCCACCGCTCCCAGCCAAAATGTACATTTATTTTTAATTAATTTTTATAAATCATAGCATGCTTTGTTAGACATAATATAATAATAAAGTTATTTTCTTCATCCTAATTAAGAGTGTTAGTCTTTTTTAAGATTTCAAAAAGTTTCTATTATTTCATAGGTGACTTTTTGAAGTTTCATTTAAGTCAATGGAGATACTGACATATTAGTTTTTTTAATACTTAAAAGTCAAATTACTTCAGGCTCATTAATAAACTTTTGAAAAGAGCGTTTTCTTTCTTTTTGCAATCAACACTTTCATAAATGTTATAAAAACAAGAATGTTTTTGAATCTTTTTAAAATTTTGAACTTCTTGATATTAGAAACATTTGTGCAAAGACAGTGGAAATAGAAAACATTTCAACCCTTTCAAACAGCAATCTGTTAATATTTATATATAAGAGTGTTCCCTTTCTGGAACTGTATTTCTAATGACCCATAATATAAGATAGAAATATGTATAAATCTGTCTAGGGTGAGATTAGCTGTAATGCATATCACAAACTTAAATGTATAAATATAAGAAAATTATTAAGTGAACTATGAATGTGTAATTATTATACTCAACAAGCAGAATTTATGAAAAATAATCCTAAAACAATATACATTGTCAATTACATTAAATTCAATTCTGGATACTGGTTCTTCCTTTTCCCCCAGATGAAATTCAGGTTAAGTCTCATAACTTTTCTGGTAACGTCCAGGTAATAAAAGATCCTTCATTAAAAAAATTGATATTTTTTCATATTGATGTTGTTCCAAACTAGATCGTTTGGAATAATAGTAAAGACATAAAATCATTCAAAGTTACAGTTATTTCCCTTTCCCAAGTATGTCAGAGTGGAGGATAATTTCTTTTCTGTTTAGTTTGGTAACTACAATTTCTGACTCCTGATGGAAGCATAAGGGAGAAATAAAAGCAAAGGAAATGATGAAGGGAAGCTTTTACTGAGCTACCTTCATTGGGTTCTTGGGCCTAACAGGTTATCGAAGCTTGTGAGATTCTTTGTAGGATCCTCAGACACCTAGCCTTCTGCTGGGTTCTCTTTGATATTTGAAGCAGCCCTCATGGAGAGGATGGAAGATAATCATTAATTCCTACATGTGGCCAAACTCTGGTCCCCTGGAAACACGCATTCCCTGGAATGTGGAAACACCTAGCAAAATCTGGAAACACCCCTGGAAACACCCAGCAAAATCTGGAAGTTGAGGTGACACAAAGCAACCACCTCTCCTTGCCAACAACAAAGCTGCAGGCCAACCCATTGTTCACAGTGAGAGATTTCAGAACTGAGTTAGACCCACCAGCTTAGTGTGTTCCCCAAACACAAAGGCAGGGAATACACATCAAGCTGTCTAAGTGGTTTCTCCTGCTTTAGGCAAAATGATAGGCGCCTCTCAGTCCCTCCCACTTAGGGGGAACTAAGACTCACAACACAACAGCAGTTGTCTCCAAATGTCTTTCTGTAAATTCTAAAACTCCTCTCAAACTCTCCAATCTCTTTTCTAAGCTTAGGGTGTAAGGTGACAGTTAACAATAGAAAAATAGTTTCCTGCTACCTTCTCATCCTGCTTGGCGCTCTAGTCACTTGGTTTCATACCTAAACCAGAGGCCAGAGTTAATGATAATTTATTGCATATTTCAAAATAGCTAGAAGAGAAGATTTGAAATGTTCCTAACACAAATAAATGTTTGAGGTGAAGGATATCCTATACCCTGATTTGATCCTTACCTGATTTGATCATTACATATTGTATGCATATATTAAAATATCACACATGGACTCCTTAAATGTGTACAATCATTATGCATCCATTTTAAAAGTCCAATTCCATCTTAAAATCTTGTTACAGATGAAATAGTATTCAGTTACTAACAGTAATCATATAAAAAATTCTGAAGGGCAATTGTAACACATTACTGTTACAGCTATGAAGAAAGCTTGCAAATAATTTTTTTGAAAAGAGACCCAAATAACAATGGAGATAATCTTACTCCATTAAAAAATTTTACTCCATTGTAAGGTCAAATGTTATGATATAAGGACATTTATCTGATACAGAAAATAATGATATGTATAATTTAAAATATTTACATATAAAATACTCCTAAAATATATGGCCAATCTTTATTTTACGTTGATCTTATCTATTCAATAATATTCAGAAAATGTTTATAATAACGACTTAGACCACAAGTTATTGTAATAATAATAATAATAACAAAAAATATTCTAACTGCTTTGTGTATACTAACTCATCTAGTCCTTACAATACACTGTATGGTAGCTACTATGTTTATCCCCAATTTCCTGATGAAGAAAACAAGGCACAAACAATTTAGGTAACTTGTGAGATGAAGATTCTGTTGTTATTGGCCAAAATTTTTGGTTAGACTCAGAAAACTAAGAGTTGTTATAATGTTGTTGCAATGTGACTTTTAAGATTGCAATTTTAGAGATCAGCATGCTACAGCATATGAAAAACATTTTTTTGGAACCTAAACTTTGTAACATGATTCACTTTAAGTAATATTCATTAGCAGCGTGACTGTTGAATCAGACGTGCTTCAATAATGTAGAAGCCTAATGTTCCAAAAGCTAGTTATCTATACCTAAGTCCTCTAATCAAAAATGTAAATACCTATATAATTCAATCATTTTGAATGAATTGAAGAATGCCTCCTGATTTTGGCTACAGAGTGTGGAAAATTATCCAAGACTTTAAATCAGAAGGCCTATAATCTAATCTAGTCCCTACCACATATGAGTTGTACGATCTTGAATAAATCCCTTAACATCTCCAGGCCATAATCTCCTGGAAGATCAGCTAGGCAATACCCAACTATTTGTCCATGATTTTTGTGATTCTAGTATCTTCTGAATCTACTCACTGGTTAGCACACTGGACTATTCGGTCAAAAGGGTAGCCTAAATATGTAGAAACACAACTTCAAACTCTTTGTAACTTAAGGAAAATCCTTTAGTCTTACTAATACTTCAGCCTTCCTACTCTGGATTATACAAAAGATTAATACGATTATCCAAAAAGAAAGAAAGAAAGGCAACATTAAGAACATCAAGTTTACTTTTTTAAAAAAGTTTTTGTACAAAAATTAAGATAAAGAAACATCCTAATACAATCCAAGAAGCATACCCATAAAATGATAGTTTAGAATTTTATAAATTAGGGTTTGAAGGATTTACTTTTGCTGTATCTTTGCAGTCTCTGATATTGAATGTTGAATATTTGCAGAACAAGAATTCAAAAAACAGAGGGTGATGAATTTGTGCTCTCTTATCACTAGCAGGACAAATACAGCTATCAAAAATAGAATTTTGTGAGTTACTTAATAACGTGACCCAGGCTTTTATGTAGCAACTGATGCAATAATGCCTGCTTCTAAGGGTTTGGAAATATGCTTTGTGATCTCTTTTTAAAATAATTAAATATCTTTGGATATTGATGGCTGAAGTTTTTATCAAAGTACTTCAGAGAATAAAAGAGACGTAATGCAGTACCCCGCATATAGTAAGTATTCAATACATACTCTTGATGAAAACTGTGTAATGTTACTAAGTTAAACTTTAAGCTTCATAATTGTATTATGCCTTGTAAAAATATTTTTAAAGAAAGTATGCTACAGTATTAACATGTGAATAGTCTTTGTCTCTGGGTAATGGAATTATGTATGGGAA